CGGGCGCGCGGGAGGCCGAGGGCCGACGGCGGCGTGCGGTCGCTCAGCGTCAGAGCTGCTTCGATCCCGAAGGCTGGTTTATAAATGAATTAGCATCGTTTAGCTAAAAGGAACTGCTCTGGATGGTTTTTCATTGTCACTGGTAGGATTAACAAAGAGGAACTAAAATTTTGTTGTGTGAATTATTTGAGGGCACCACTTGTTTTTATGGAAGATCTATCTTGCTTTCAGAGGTAGTGTCAAAACAGGAAACTGGTACTAGTTAGAGTAAATCGTTTAGAAGAATTATTTAAATTGTTTGCATGGACAACTGAACACTAAATTGATGTAGTAACCTTAAATAGAAATTTTAATATTAGTCTAACATTGTTACAATTAAACAAAACAAGCGTGTCACTTTATAGAGCTGGAATGATCTGTTTCTACAGCAATTTTCTACTTTAAGCCCTTTTTGGCCACTGCCTTTGCCATCATGGCGAAGTCATTTTATGTTCTTCTACAAATGCTGTAAAACCTCTCAGAACTTTCTGGAAAGTATTAATTTTGTAACTATTATGTAGGTTTTTTAAAAATCAACATATTGAATTGCATATCAGAAATCTGTCCTAAAGCTGTGTAAACCATTAGGGTAGGTTTTAAATACATACTGTAGAGACCTATTGACTTCATTCTTGCTAATTTTCTTAAGAGAGCTTTGCATATTGTAATTGCCGGAGAAGCTACTTTAAAAGTATGCAAAATAAAGGTGTTCTTTTGAGTGTGCAGCCTCACGGAGATTAGCTTTCCTGTTTGTAAGCTGAATGCACTATACCTGAAAGAGGTGGGAATGTGTGAGTAAGGGCTAGGGGGCTGAAGCAGGGAAGTAAGCGATCTCGCCACATGTGCAAAGGAACACGTGTGTTTGTGTGAGAGCAGCCTAGTATCACAGGGTCTATCCTGCATCTCAGATAACTAAAATACAGCTATAATTGTGCCTTCTGTTTCCCTGCAGAACCCATATAATTAAGGGCATGCCCTCCTGCTTCTAGAGGAAGAATTCCCCTAGAATCTTACTGAACATTTAATTGTAGGAACCAGCAAAGAAAGTAAGATACATTGTAGAAGTAACTCTTTTAACACATACGCATAATAAATCTTTTTTTTTTTGAGTGTTTATGTAGCAACTTGTCTGTTACCCGTAAACTATTTGAAAATCTTCAAAACATGATGTAGAACAGAAAGCAGTGTTCTGTATTTTGTTACTTGGATTGTAGGAGCATGCAGAGTTGATCAAGGCTAAGGCTGCTTGAGCAAGTGTCATAAGCATGCAGAAACACAATATTAATTTTAAAAGTCTGCAGACTTGAATCTTGTATGTAGGCAGAACTTCCGGAGATCACTGCAGCATTAGGATACTCAGGTCGTTCTGCAAAAGCTTATGCATGTTGAATAACTTCATTCACGTGCACAATTCGATTAAGTCTGTAAACCACTTCTTACCATATTCTTATTGCAAAGAGTATGCTACCATTTAGAGAAGATGGAAAATCCAGTTCCTCTGAGAATCAGTTCAATTTTTTAATGTAAATTGCAGTATTTCTAAACTTGCTTTCGGGTAGGATCGGAAATGTGCAGCAGTAAGACAGAAGATGATAGGTATGGTATTCACTAAAATACAAATGTGATCAACTCAAATTCATTGATGAGTTGCATGTTGACTAGTGTAGTTGGAAATATTTTCTTGGGTGGAGCAGCTAGAATCACCAGTGGCAATGACGTTTTCTCCCCTTCAGCCCAGAAGTGAGATTAAACTGGAGATGGGTTAATTTTCCTGCTTTGAGGAGATTTTAACCCTAGAACGCAGATGTCCTTCACGTAGCAGATTGTTCCAAACAAGAAGTTAAGAGCATCTTACTGCTCCCAGTATTTAATTATTTCATGCACAGTGGGATGGTCCTACCAGAGAGACAGAAGTAGGCAGCTCTCTGAGAAACCTGTGTGCTGTGGCAGAAAGTGGAGCAGCATATGATGCAGTACTGGTCATTGGAAATCCCAGTTCAGATCCTGGTTTTGAATCAAGCACAGAGTGGCTTTGACCAGTTTTCAAAGCTAAAATCTGAAAATAGTCCTGGTGGTTCCTGTCTATGTGTCATGTGTATTTACTGAGAATTTATCAGTATGTATCAGCCTTGCGCTCTACTGAAGGTGCATTCAGGATGAGTGTCTTAAGGACAAGGTAATCAAACTGCAATATGGGTGACTGGTAGAGACTAAAACTAGAACTTTTTGTTTTCCTTTTCTTTTCTTTTTGTCCTGTTGTTACAAGAAGCCCTGAAACCATGTTGCGTTTTTGTCACTGCACGGCTGAGAAAACATGTTCATCTATCACCTCTGTGCTTTTGAAGTCCCTCCCAGAGCCTGTGAAGTCTATAAATCCCAGCCTGCTGCATTCTAATCACTTTAACTTCAAAGAAGACAGATCAAGTTCAATTTTTTGAGATTATTTTCAGTTCTCTGTTTATTCCAAGCTTTACATTCCCTCTGTAAAACTCTATCAGACATTATTGTTTTGGCTAATCTGCGTAGTACATATGTGCAGCATGTTGGAAAGCCTGTCTGTATGTCTGACAGAAGCTTACAGTTTCCCAGTTTACAGCTTCCCAGTAAGTGCAGGGGACTTCTGGATCAATCCATTCAGAGGAGATGGCACCCTCAGAGCTGGGAAGGGTTGTACTTGCTTTGACTGAGCCCCATGCCCCTAGCTGAAAACACTTGCAAACTCCAGAGCTATCACAATTGCCAGCACTTAAACCCCCAAGATTTAGGAAGTGTTTCTCTTACATGCTCTCACATTTATTTTGTCTTTGAATTTTGATTACATTAGGAAAAATGCATTTCTCTTTGTGCTTAATGATATACAATTAACATGCTAAATGCTGTAATTAAAACGGAGATTTGAGCTTAGGCCATGTTATAGGCAAAACCATCTTTACTTTTTAAAATATGTTAGGACACGTTTGCTTAAATATTGCTTGAGATAAGACCTCAAACTTACAAACACTCCAGGAATTTCCAGGGAAATATTATAATACACTTTAGCAGTAACTAAGGCTTAGTTCTAAGTATTTTGTCATGTGTGTCATCTTACTGAGGGTGATAGAAGTTTCCATGGTAAAGATTTTAGGCAGCCTTGTCAATATATAGAACGCCTTGAGGAGAAAAGTTAGCACAAAATAGTTCAAAATAATTCATAGAGGATTTTCCTGTCTCCCAGTTGGAGCAGAATGAATATTAATAAAATGACAAGTGAAAATCTGTCAAAGTTCTTTCTTTCTCTGCAGCTTCTTGTCATTCAAATGTTTGGACATATAGTGATCCTAAACACAGGAAATAAAAGAGCATCAGCATGGCAGATACATACCAAATGTATGTATGACACCTGAGAGATACTTGAGATACTCTTCAGTCTTGAGAGATGAAATAGGAATAAAATGAAACTGAGTTGGGGCACAGTCATGGAATTAAAATAATTAATTTTTAGTAACTTAAAGGCTTAACCAAGTTGCCAGGCATTGGAAAGAATCATGGGGCTCCTGTATCGGATCGAAGATTCCCTCTCATGGTTTGAAATGGGGTTCAAATCATAAAAACTTAGTAAATGCTGCTCCAAGGGGGTCATCATCATTGCCGGCAGTTGAACCTGTGGAGGTGGTTTAATTTTGCAGGAAGGCGGGCAGGGAAAAATTAAACTTTAGAAGTTTGCTGGGTGTAAGTGCGTTACATTGCAGGTATGCTTATGTATAGCAGTTATTCTGTTACCAGGAGGATTGTAATAACCTTGTGTGGCCATTAGAAAGGAAGATGAAGGCATGATAATTTTGCTCAGTTCAAATGTTTTGTGTATTTGTTAGAATTATTTTTGTGTGTAATGAAGTACAAAGCTGAGATGTAACAGTAGCAGAACCATGAAAATTTAAGTGATGAAGGTAGTTTGATGAAAATTTTTTATGTAGTCAATAAAAGAATATCTTGATGTAGTCATTAAGAAATGCTTAGAAAACATGTATGCAGTGTACATAAAGCAAGATTCAAAAGGCACGTTTAGAAAGGTGATTGCACAGAGTTTTTCCTCAATTTATTTCTTAATAAAATTTCATTTTTTTCCACATGCCTTTGCTGTTGCCAGGCTGGTTTTGAGCAAACATCTGGTTTTGTTTTTTGATAGTAAGGAATTACATTTCTCTCTCTTCATTTCCACCTAAATATAAACTAATACAGTATCTGTGATACTGTAATAATAATTGATCGGAAATGAACCTGGAAAAACTTTCAGTTAAGACATCATTGTGGTTGTAGCTTTTATTGTGGAAAATAACTAGAAGGGAAGCATTAGAAACTAAGGGGTTTTGTTTTGAAAACTTCAGCTTTTCTTTTTCTTCTATCCCTGAGTCAGGACCCCAATTCTAGTGAAGTAACTAAAGACTACATTGTTGCATATGAATCCAAAAGTCTGATTTCAGGTTGGATTTTTTAAGAGGTTGACCAAATTATTTATAAAATGTGAGAATACTACACAAAGCATGCCATGAAGGGTACGGTAACAGAAAATTCTCCAGTATAAATCAAAGTCATCAGTCGTAAGGCTGGTGGCAGGGAAAACAAATCAAGCAGGGAAAAGAGAAAAGGTATGCTTTAAAATGGGAATGCTAAATCAGATAGCTAATTGATGTCTGCCTCATAGGCATAGATCTGTTATAGAGAGAATGGATGTCAGATTGCTCAGAGGTGGTGTTGTAAATGCAGTGTAACAGGTGATGAGATTTGTGGGAGATTTGGGGGTAAGCCATGCAAGGATTCTGGAAAAGAAAAGTACTTTTCAATTGATTGCGGCATGAAGGAGGAACCAGTGGAACTGGTTGAAAGTGTGAGCAGTATGGTGACTTTCTCCTCAATCACGGGAACGTAAGCAGCGATTTTCACTCCCAACTGCAGTACAGAAAGCCATCATTTTGTGCGAGCTTGGAGAAGAATTCAAGATCAGAGATACGGAGAATTCCATAGTGTCACTTGTGGTGATCATAGGTGGAGAATATTATTTACTCTGGTACCATTGTCTGGGAAGCTTCCTAAAAGTGCTGAGAGCAGCAGACTTCATTTGCCTTCCAGTAAGCAAAAATGCAGCTTACTCATCTACGCTGGACTGCTAGATGCCTGCGACACTGGGTGTCTTCCTGAAGATTTGATCATACTGCTGGCGCTAGAAAATTCCTAAATAAGCTCATACGAAAAGAAAACTCAGGATTAAGTGTTATTCTAAATTTACAGAAGGAGGCAATTCGTCAACTGATCTTTAAGGAAGCATAAATGAATGGGAGTGGATTCACAGTATATTCCACTGAAGAGACTAAAGCTGTTGCAGTACTAATAACACATGAACAAACAAATGAACAGTTGTAATTAGGACTGGTTAAAGATGAGTATGGAGTGTAGGAAAGAGCATTGCTAAGGATCAAATTGTTGGTGCCGTTCTACTATTTCAGCACTGGAATAAATGCT